GCTTCAGGTTTTCGTCTATCCTTACATTTGAAACTGATTTGTGGGCATCATTGGTTGAAATGCAAACTAGTTAAGCGACGGACCTTCAAATTGTTCCTTAAAGGGGAGATGGGGTGGCCAGTGAGGGCCTTAAGGCCATTTGTTTTCTATCTTAAAGTCTTATGCTGGACTTTTGAGATGGACAATATCAAAATTGTTTTGCAGGAACTGTTAGTAAGCCTCAACATTTTTTATTTTTCTTGGTAACAACTGTAAAATATTACCATAACCACCAAAGAACAGATACAAATAAAAGAGCACTTATTTCTGAAACAGAGAATAGGCCTCCCACAAACCATAACAACTAATTACATAACAAATGCTGAATAAAGTGCCTACATGTATTTGCTTTCTTTGAACTACTAAGTAAGTGTAATCTTTCACTGATTTCCTTCTTTATCTGTATTGCTGCCTCCTCCGTATGTACACATATGTTAATAAGCCTCGACATTTTTGTTCTTACTAGAATATGCTTTTTTTGAGTGTATAGTTTTCTCATTGCCCCTCATGTTTTCTTTGTTTCTTAAATTGTCTCATGCTTTTTCTTTATGGATTTGTGTATATTTTTTTAATGAACAACATTGTCAAATGCTTTTGGTTTCAGGTAAAATGCTTGGACAGATACTTGTTACTAAGCAAACTGGAGCTCAAGGAAAAGTTGTCAGCAAGGTTTGGATTTTATTATTTACATCTGTATTCTTCATCCATACATCAATATTTAATAGCTATTTAGATTTATCAACCAAAAGATTTAGATGTAAAGAGAAAGTTGTTTACCTCAAATATTATTTTCATGAGTTGTTATCCCCATCTTTTTTAAGTATGGAGTGGTTGATAAAAGCCTGCTTGTGAGGCGCTTTAGCCCTGAAGCTCAGTGCATTGGTTGTATGCTTTGCCTCGCTTAGGTGGTGCTTTAGTGCTACAAAGGTGATAATGTGCACCTCAGTGTGAGCAGGCTATGCTTCAAGTAGGGTAGTGCTAAATGCTATTGATGGATATAAATGGTAGATGATTATATCAATTTATTGATTGTGTAAAAAAGGTTATAGATGAATAGTTAGTGTGTAGGAACCGAGTTCACTAATCTGTATTTGCAATATAAACATCTTTGAATTTGTAGCACAAAACTCAATTCGATTTTTTAATTGACACTTTATTTCATGTATTTAGTGTAATTGCTGCTGCCATTTAATTTCTTGGTCTGTATAGTTTCTTTTTTTGCAGTTAGAGGTGTAAAAACTTGATTTTCTTTCCTCATTAGCACCTTTTTGGACTTAAAAACATGCCTAGTTGCGTTTTGCACAAGAAGACCAACAAACTCTTGCCGCCTTTCTGCTAGTTTTGCCTTTGACAAAATGGTGATAGTGTGAAGTCAACATCCATAGTTAAAACCGTTATAAGCATCTAATTGATTTCATTGGTTGGTGATGATAATCACAAGTCCAAACGGTTCATTTAATGTTTTCAGAAACTCAGAATTACTAATTCTACCATCAGCATCTTATTCTCAAAAAAAATATTCTACTATCAGCACCTAGTAGGATCTGCAGATTTTCTGATGCTCTTTTATCTAATTGATTGCAGGTTTACCTATGTGAAAAGATGTCCTTGGTTAATGAAATGTACTTTTCAATTATACTTGATCGTGCAACTGCTGGCCCTGTAAGTTCCATGACTTGTCGTTTCTTAAACTTGCTGGGTCCTTTGTGTCCACTTTATTGTTTTTAACGTATATTCAGAATTTATATCCCAGTCCAATGACTGTTACCCATCAATAAAACAAATAAATCCCTGTTCAATGTCGAGCCAACTTTCACTTCTTACTATTATATTTTCTACACCACTGGGTACCTCCTCATGAGATTAAGGGGAAAAGAGAGAATTTAGCGTGAATAGAAGAGAATAATGAAGGAATTTCTCTGTCTACCTAAGTTGCTTCTTCGTTTTCACTGTTCTCTTAAGTAATAATTCATTTTTTATTCTGACTGCATGGGTATCTTTCTGAATGTACAGAATAAGTAATAAGAGCATCTGCCTGCATCGTTGATTCTATTGAATGAAACCCAATTTAGAAACATGTGCTGCAGTGTGTAGCTTCTGTCCTATGAGTGGATAGGTCAATGCTGCTTGAGACTGATGCATGCTAACATCAGTCATGCTTGTGTTCTAATTAGTGCTTTTTTTTCAATGAAGTATGATTGTTAATGAGAGAACCCAAGTGCTTTCATAATTCTTTATGTCCTAAGAAGGTCAGTCAAAAAGTTTGAAGTACTAGAACTTCCTTCAACTTTCAAGAGTAATTCTAATATAGATATTTGAAAGTTCAGGAAACAATATTATTCAATTTGAGTCCCCCATTAATTAAATGTTTGGGGGCGGGGGATATTGAACCCCTTAAACCTTAGCTGGCAATCTTTTGTTTTTAAGTTTTGCTGTTAAATCCTAGTACAAAATTTTCTTTGTACTTAATTAGTTATCTTGATCATTTAGAGGATGTTCACTATCATATTCAAATGTTTTGTTGATCTATGGTATGAAGCTGCTTACTGTTGCCTTTTCTATTGCAGCTCATTATTGCTTGTCGAAAGGGTGGAACCAGCATAGAAGACCTAGCAGAAAAATTTCCCGACATGATTATAAAGGTTACTTTTCTTTCAATTTCATCCAAGATTTAGCAATTTTGTTTTGTTGCTATTGTTGTCAACTAATAAAAGTTCTCGGCATCTGTATTTTCCAGGTTCCAATTGATGTTTTCAAAGGAATCAGTGATGAAGATGCCGCAAAGGTTGTTGATGGATTGGCTCCAAAAGTAGCTGACAGAAATGATTCAATTGAACAAGTGAAAAAGTTGTACAACCTTTTCTGTGAAACTGACTGCACAATGTTAGAGGTAAAGCATTTTGATCATTTGTTTAGAAGCACCTTCTGGAGACTTAGCAAATTGTTCCACAGATTAAGAATTTGTAGCAAGCATGCCATTAAGAAAAATAATCTCCCTATTTATATCTAATTCTAAACATTTGTCTGGGCAGATCAACCCCCTTGCAGAAACATCTGACAACAAGCTGGTAGCTGCAGATGCAAAGCTCAATTTTGACGATAATGCTGCTTACCGTCAAAAAGAAATCTTTTCCCTTCGCGATTCATCACAAGAAGATCCTCGTGAGGTAACTCCTTGTGATGTCTTTGTTTGAATGTTACTGAAAGCGCTGACTTTTCATCTTTGATGCAACTATATACAAGTTCTCATTTTTATTTGGTTTACTCTGGTCAACTCCTCAGGTTGCTGCTGCAAAAGCTGATTTGAATTATATTGGCTTGGATGGAGAAATTGGTTGCATGGTAAATGGTGCTGGATTGGCAATGGCTACCATGGATATTATTAAGCTTCATGGGGGAACTCCAGCCAATTTTCTAGATGTTGGTGGAAATGCTACTGAAGGCCAGGTATATGTGGTTTCTTGATAATGCAATGTGAAGAACAGTTGTCTAATGCTCATTTGCATGTTTGCCAGCTATATTTTGTAATAATTGAACAAGAGTATTATTATGTTGAAGTCTATTATTTGGCTTAATGAGTGGTAAATGTTGAAAACTTCAGAATCCACAAATGGTTGAATTTCTTTCTTGTACTTTGGAGTAGGTTGTCGAGGCCTTCAAAATTTTGACTGCAGATGAGAAGGTGAAAGCTATTTTGGTGAACATCTTTGGAGGAATAATGAAGTGTGATGTGATAGCCAGTGGTATTGTTAATGCTGCCAAACAGGTTAGTTTTGTGTTTTTTGTGATCATGCGTCTTGGTTGGTTTGTCCAACAGTGTTGTCTATTTTAGGATCAATTTTGTGTCTGTTTTGTCCCATTTAGCCACACATCAATATTTACACCTGACCTCTGTTTCCTTGAGGCTGCAATTAAGCTCCATGCATAATGTGCTGATTCTTGTGGGCTTGTGATTTAAGGTTCAACTGAAAGTGCCTGTGATTGTTCGTCTGGAAGGAACCAACGTCGAACAAGGGAAGAGAATTCTTAAGGTAAATCTTCAACTTTGGCGTCTGGGCATGAACTTTGCCTTGCCCTAACAGTTGCCAATTTTGCTGTGCATAGGAAAAGTCAGTTTCAAGTAGTAAATCACCTTCTTGCCTGGTTTGTCATGTGCAGGAAAGTGGCATGAAACTGATTACCGCTGAGGATTTAGATGACGCAGCTGAAAAGGCAGTCAAGGCCTTAGCTTAGTTGAAAGAACAAAAAAGAGAACAAAATTTGTTATAATTCTAATTTGTGTATGCCTTTTGATTGGCTCCCTTTTTTTGTGGATAATCTGAATGTGCAATTCTTGATTTTACAATAAAACAATGAACTACACTTTTTTGTCAAACACTTTGAGCAAGCTTGATGCTTCTTTTTAATTATTATTCATTTATAACAGTGGTATGATTAGCCATTTTGTACGCACCTCGGCTAATGCAGGTGGGCGATGGCCATCTCATTTAAGAAAGCTTGTTGTTTCGGCTATAACCTAACCTTCTGATTGATGTTTCCCTACTTAGTGTAATCCATGTTGGGTTTGAGAAGGATGCGTGAAACTATGTTTATATAGACTTATTAGTGGAAGAATATAAGATTTTGGATGTTTTTAATTAAAAAAAGATACTTCGAGGTCATTTTGTTCAGACTAAGTTATCTCAGATTTTATAAATTTATCTCATTCATGAACCAAATGACCCCTTATTAGTTACTCCTGTTTCAATAAAGACATTTTGCTGAATTCGACATATCTTAGTTTAAGATCACTGAATTTCTGTGTCAAAATAAATTGACATGGAGGCAGTTACTACCTAGAGAATTCATATATTTTCCTTTCCTCGTATTCAGAAAGAGATTTTACACTAAAAATAAAATTCTGTATAATGAACAAGGTATGTTAAGGTTAAATTTTACATAAAATTCTATAAACGAAACTTTTCGAGATTTCCAAACATGTATGGAATTTACTAAACTATCAAAAAAAAGAAAAGATAAAATGCATTTGAATACATTTTTATTGTTATTTTTTCTTGTTTTTGTTATGAAATGATGCTTTCATTGTTTCTCGAACTCTGTACTGCACCTTCAGATGCTGGTGGTGCAGCTGTACTAGAAGAAGTGCCTTTAGACTTGGACGATCGGGATCCGGGGACGGTACCGCCGGGGTCGGCTTCCTTGGACTTCTTTCGCCGTGATTTTTTGGGGATATCCGGCAGGTCTCTAGCCGGAGACTCCGAGCCACCGGCTGAATCTAGCGGGATCCGGCCGTGTTTGGAACCGTCAGCAGAGTCCTTCCTGTGGTGTCGCCGGGAACCCCTGGATTTCTTTGGAGAATCAGTCCCTCCGTTTTCCTTAGAAGAAGAATGACGCCTGGTTGACTTTGTTTGTTCTGGTTGATCTCCGACGGCAGAAGAATCTGCATTTCTGGACCTTCGGTTTGAATCTGAAATGGCATTGCATTGCATTCATTGCGGGTATAAAAAAAATTTAAAATAGGATCATACAATTCATGCACAGTACTTTGTCCTTGATTTCTTTGTATGTTTACCTCTTTTGTGTTCTGAACCATCTGTTATGGGTCAGGTTTAATTTATTTATTAACCAAGGAAGAACTTTTAGCATGAAATTACAAGAATAGGGAAACTTGAGATCATTTTTTACAGTGCTTTGATCTTCTTGGTTAAATTTCTCCCCTCATATACTTATAGTCCATTTTTTACATTAGAAAAATGAATCATTCAGGTTCGAAAAGTGACCAAACAAACCTTCAGAAACCCATTTAATTTCAGGATTATCTGCTGCTGGAGGAACCAAAGGTGCTGACTGAAATTGTCCTGGTCCATTGAATTCTTTCATCTACCATAATAACAAACATACAGCCACAATGAGGAAAAAAGAAAAAGATCAATTAAAATCATTAAGATAAAATAACATGAAGAAAAGGAAAAAAAAAGAGAAGAGTTTATTACCCAGGTTGGATTATTATCTGTTGATGGTCCATCCCATCCTATATGAGCAACATGCTTTACATCTGTGGGAAAACCAATCTGTATTTCTTTTTCTTTCTCCTCATCTGCATCAACATACATATAATTAAACCTAAATGTTTTTGTATGTAGAGTGGTGATGGTGTGAAAATAAATCTGATGTACAAAGTTGCTTGGCCCGGTTAATTCAAAAGGTTAAACTAAGGAAGAATATCTATAGACAGTTTAACTTATCTTAAACGTAGAAACTTGAATTTTCATAGCCAACTAGAAAAATAAAAAGTGATCCCTATGATAAAATCTTTGTATTTGATTACGCTTTATTCATTAAAATATTTTCATAATGATCGTTAGCCTACCCGTAACCCTCTTTAAACGCCCACAAAAAAAAACAATGAAAATTGTGATAGAATAAATGATCGTTCCCTCACCAAATATTTGAGAAATGTAACGAAGGCCTTTAAGAAGGCCTTTCACCTTGGTGGCCATCTTCAACTTTTTTTTAGGTCTAGATTTGCAAACCTTTCTTCAGTAGAAAGGAAGAAAATAAATGAAACTCATAAATAAATGAGAATATATTTGGTATTAATATTCAAACTTTGGACACAGAAACTCCAAAGATACAAAAATAATTTCAACAAATGGACTCAAACCCTCAAAACTTTTAGGTTCGACTCCTCTCTAATTATCACAAAACAAAATGCTGTTAAAGCATTCCTTTCGTCCATTTAATGGCAATGAATTGCGGGACAATACTAACCAGACATATGTCATAAATTTAGGGATGGGAATTAACTGTTGTTAATTATATTTAAGGAAACTCCTTCGCAAATAATTACATCTGCAAAGCTATTCCTATCCGCTTATAATAATCAATCACATAGCTAAAGTAAATAACAATAAATCAACTTAATGGAAATATTTTTCTTTGGGCATATAAATTGCTAGGACATCAAACTTGTAACTAACACGAACTAATATAATTATATAATATTACTTGCTGAAGAATACATTCACTTAAAACATTTAAATTCACAAGAGGTTATCATGATGTATAATGAAATAAAATATTGAGTCAAACATTAGTCTCCAGAATTACTTATTGCCCTCAAACCCAGTCCGTCCCCTTTCATTATAAGTTACAAACCAGTAAACAAAATAATTCATTGTCTAATACAGCTACCCATCGTACAACAGGACAAAAGCAGGAAGTATGGTTGTTTCAGAAGTTTCTCACAGTGTCGATGAATCTCAAAAGAGTACCAAAACTTCCTTTCAGCTTAAGATGCTTTCAGTTCATCCATTCCTACGCTGGCCTGCAATAGCAACAATGATAAACAATTTTTTAACTTCTGCCGTTAATATTCCTGGAATTTAAATGCAAGAAAACATGATACTAGTGGTCCTTCAGCTATTCCTCTAGTTTCAACTAATCCTTCACCACTGAAATCTCGCAAACAGCCAATAAACTTAAAAGGTGTGTTCGAGGTACCCCAAATACCAGTTTAATCAGTCATGCAGTAGAAGTGAAGACTCATTTGACAAGCAAATCTCTGAAGAACATCTACAAATTCAAGGTGTTGGAAAGGGGACCTAGTTCTTTTTTTCCTTTTGTTCTTTGGGTGGTGGTTGGGACAGAACAACTACAATAGTGCAACCCCAGATAAAATCCAAACATCTATTTGATGGATATATTCTTTATAAGATATCTTACCAAGAACTTGTGGTTCTCTTCAAGAAGCGGTGAGAAAGTAGTACAGAATTTTTCAATGTCACTATTAATATCACCGGTCCCACATATTACATCCATAAATTTCTGCCTATCTGGAGCGAGCTTCATTGCCATCTGTGATTACAATCCACAGTGAAGGAGTTAAGAGAGAGAAAAATGGACTTCAAAAATAGCAATGCCAGATGCCTGGCTGGTTAGTCCTACCTTCAGTATAAATTTTAACAAGGGAGCAAAAGGCAACAAAATTAAAGTACACTGCAACTACCTCTCAATTACAAAATAAGAATACTGCTTAAGTTGACGAGAAAAAGCACAAAAAAAGACATTGAATAAGTAATAGAGGAAAATGGGGGTGGGTTGGAGGGGTGGGGATGGCAGAAATAACATGAAGTTTTATCCCCTATATATCAATGAAATGGAGATCAAACATTGTTTGTTTCTACAAGGTAATGATAAAGAACCAAATTCAAACATTCTTGTCAGCAGCAGCATATCAAGTCACAGGACTTAGACTAACATTCATGTTATAGGAGGCAAAAATGAAACTAAATGAACATTTGACTGTCTGAGACATTATCTCAACAGAAGGAAATACTACACCAGAATATGGGTACCTGGAAAACCAAAACAAGCCAACAAGGATTTTCTTATTGAAAAATCACTAACAGCACACACATTCCAGGACTAAACTAGGAAGGATCTCATACTTTGCATGATGGGAAGAATGGGGAAAGATGCAACTATTCCGGATCAATAACTTTAGAAGCAAAATTTTCAGGGTATATGAAACAGTTACCGAAAAAGTTGAACTCGCTATCCATCCATGACACTTTTTCAATGTCTTGCTGTAGGAATCAGAGCAAGCTTGTGACATCGCCCAGTCCTGATGCTCCAGTAAATTTCTAAACAGTGCCACCAGAAAATCCATAGCCCTAAAGACATAATGACAGAATCTTCAAATTATAATTCAGTTGACCAGAATTAAAATGCATCGTAGAGTAACATGCTTTTGGGAAATGCATGCTGCTGAGTGATTGTGGTATGAGTGAGATCGGGGCATGGGGAAAGACATCGCCTAGAAGATTAATGGTTACCGCAAAAGAGATAAAGTAAGAAGAGATGGAGAATAATTTCCAACCTTGTCAACCAAAGAAGACCATTTGTGCAACTGGAAGAGCCTTTTGCTGTCTTTGCTTCAATCTCTTCTTGCACCATGCTGTACAAGTTTGTATATTTTGTTGGGTTCGACAAGTACTTGTTTTCTAACCTCTGTAGCATCAATATTTAATAATAGATTTAGCAAGGAAGCATCCACAAAATTTTCAAAATTGAAAGATCAGACTGTGTTTGCTAGCTGTATGCAGCAACATAAATCAAAAGAAAACATCTACATGGTTCAGGGAACGAAGTGCCTAAGAATATCTAGCTCCATAACATAGGAAATACTCAACCAAGGTCAGAATAATTCTGTTGCCTGGCTGAATAAACTCAATTTTCTCAAGATAATTACTCTACAAACTGTGATAAAAACCCATTTATTTGGATATTCTAGATTACTGGAAACAATTGTTTAACAGGGCTTTTGAGCTCATTCAGGAAAGGTAATTGGTAGAAAGGGCCAGAAGAGAATATTATCCTGCACCCATGAAATTAAATAAGTAATGAATCAATTAACGGGAGAGAATGAAATGATAAATCAAATAATTAATGAGGACAAATGAGAGGAAGAAAAGGGACTTTAATAGAACAAATGTTGTGAAATTCCAAAATCAAAGCATTATTACTGAGTGATAGAAAGGTAGAATTTAAGCAATAGAAAATAAGCAAGCAAAAACCTGAAAAATTTCAGATAAAAGGCAAAGATGGGAGACTGACCGTTATATTTCCACCAATGTCAGACTTGACCAGTGCCATGGCAGCTCCAAACTTTTCTAGATTGGGAAAAAACAAAAAAGATAATCAGTTTACAGTTAACATGGATCCAGCTTGCTTTTGAGATGTCCAAGATAACTTACTAAAGAGGTAAGGAACATTCACTTAGAAGCTTTATGCACATAAGTGAAAATATTTTGACAAATTACTAGTACATCCGTAAGAAAAGAGCCCTTTGCATAAATTTCTATTTGCAAGACTAAATAGCAACTTTTGTAGCTAGGACTCTTTAAAAAATGTTGCCGCACCCGTGTTGGATTCTTCCAAAATACACTATTTTTGGAGTATCCGACACACACCATCGATATTTTTGAAGTTTAAACTTTAGATAGCCACTCACATTTAAGAGAAAAAATGAAGTTTCAAGGCATGTGTTTGCTTAAAAATTCTGGAAAAAACTTGTTTGCATTTTCAACCATACACCAAAAAATAAATCTTCTGTTTTCGTAAAAGTTGTTCTTCAAAATTCACATTTTTTCGCAAAAACTGAAAATCTAATCTATATTGAACCAAACACATAGAATTTAACAATTCAGCCTCTTCTCTGAACTTCACTTTGAAAGTTTTAAATTAGTTTCTTTTAAATGTTGTAAGTATTAGATTATTTTTTGTCTTTTAAGTGGCATCCACCCAAGAGGGTTGCTACCCACAGGACACACTACGACATTTTTGGAGATTCCGAGCTACATAGGTTTTAAATGTCAAAATTAACCAATATCATAACTCAATTTGATTAGGAAAATTAAGATCAAGCATTAGATCGACCAGAAAAAAAGGGAGTAGCTAGAGTGTTTGCACCTTGAGACAGCACTACTAAGAAGCTTAAGCGAAATTCTTGATAGAAATAAAATAACAGCATAATTTTATTTTTAAAAGTTTTTGACCACTCAAAAAGTAGTCAAAGAAACGGGGATCCCTAAGTTATAGATCCCAAGCTAAAACACAAGATATAGTACCTATAATAGGTAAGATGTGTTTGCAGACATCTAAGAAAGGTCTGGTAAGCATTACTCCTTCCTCAGACTTGACATGCTTGATTCCTTCTAAAGCAGGGGCAAAGACAGTGCCTTCCATTCTTGTGCTTTACTGCAGTGTATAGCATCATAAAAGTTAAAATCATTTCAGAAGTACATTTAAATGGCAATGAAAACCTTAATCCACTAACTTAACAACTCTAGTAGAAAGCGTTGCAAATAATGAAGCTCAAAGACAGAGAGACATAAAATCTGTCTTATTGGTGAAAGTAAAGATGCTTAATATCAACATATAGTCAAGAGTATCTGCAGAAGTTATTACAAACTACACACTTATGTGTCAAGCAAACCAATCGGGAAAATGACCAATATGTTGAGATATCTGGATTTCATATGATAAAGGCAACACTGAATGCAATGAATAGTATGTTGCCGTAAAGAACAACCACAATGTACAAAGAATCAAATGCTGATGATCAACTTTTTACTCCAATTCAACGATCAGGATTATGCTGATGTATATTTTCTAAATATATTTAACTATAGATATATAGGCCAAGCTGAAAATAGTTGATGCACATATTAATTAACAAATCAAACAAAAAAGGGCTAAGATCACGTAGATCCTTATCATCAACTTGATTATCCATTAAACAAAGATATCTGACTATTCAATCCACCATCTGCAGAATCATAAACTACAAATGTACTCCGAAAAAAGGATCAAACCGCTAGTTTGCTTACTGTTAATAGTTCATGGAGGCGGATCCAATATCAGAAAAGCAGTGAACACAAACAAGTATGAGCCAGTAGATATCTACACATGCATCCATTTCTTATATGCTGGATCAACCTTTCTACACGCAATCAAACTAAATTTCTAAGCAAATTCTCGTCCAATTCAAGGAAAACAGTTTTTTCAGTAAAAAAATCAAACGAGATTTGCTTACAGAAATGCTAGATCTTCAAAAAAATTGAATGATACAAGTAAATCGAAGGAATTGAACAAAAGATCGCGTATAATCGAGAACTGATATTTGATACTTACAAAAAGATATACCTTATCAATGTGCTCTCTCTATATTTTTGAGCTTTCGAAGAACGCTACTGCCAAGTGTGAGGAACAAATGAAGAAGCTTTGATATTTACATACACGCTAAGGACTGATCGA